GTAGGACACAAAAAATACACCCATTATCAAATCTATTAAAGTCAACCTTAATCTTTCCAAAAATGTCTTGGAATCACTTTAACTTTATTTTGAATAGTTTTTTCCCATATTATATATTATGCAGCACAATTACAATTCACTGTGACCCACCTTGAGTATGGGCCCTGACCCAATCTGTGCTGGCAGTGGTTAAAATAATTGAAGCACATTTCGTTCAGTTGCCAGCAGATATTTTCCTCATTTTCCCATCACTTGACACTGTTTCTGAGTCTGTACTTGTGCTCATTAAATCCCGCTCTATCACTCCCTCTGCCCAGTCCTTATTAAATATTTTTACACCTCTTTTCATATTATAACTGCTGCTCACCTCTTTGGCAGCGTATAGTACCAACCTCGCCGCATTCAGATAGACACAATGTAAAATCACACTCGGCTGCATTCACTTGATAAAAATACGAATTTATTCCCAATTAGTTTTAGTCAGTATCGAATGCACATCTTCCCAGTGTTTATGTGTGTGTGGTTGTCTGAATATAAACTGATAGCCTCATTATTTTCAAAGCCCGCCTTCATATCTGGAGGGGGCTGGTGTCATTATTCACTATTTACATTCATGAACCCTTTTCATTAGAAAGATTTCTCCTGCAACGCCATCCACTGCACCCAGTCTACATTGTCCAGTCACCTCAGATGATAATAACGGGCAGCCATCTTGTGTATTCAAAGCTGCACCCTTCCATTATGAGATTTAATGAACTGTTTTCCTGTTTTTTTTTGTTTTTTTTTTTTTGTTTTTTTCTATGTGACTGTAGTAGATAGCAACTCTGAAGAGACTGTTAAGATTCAAAGCTATTCTCAGCTTTCCCACTACTTGTAACTGTTGCATATGGAACAGCTCTTATCTGAACAAGCATAAGATAATTGGTGGACAAGTTTAGAGTGCTATGTGAGAGAGGGAGAGGGAGAGAAAGAAAGAGAAAGAGAGAAGAGAGGGGGAAGGAGAATGTCTGTGCGATGGAAACAACAAACAAGTATGGTGATGTCTTTGGCACAGCAAGACAAGCCCCAAAGCAAAGTCAAACCAAACTGAACCATATTTTTTCACTTTAATTAGCAAAGCAGAATTAAATGCATCTAAAGATATGGTTTGCAGTGCACTCACAAGTTCCCCGCATCTCCATTGACACAATCTCAAATGGTTTTATGTTTATGTGTATGTATGTTATGTTACTATGGAAATGCAAATTTAACCTACTTTTTGTGTTTATTGTGCACTGGGTAAAGAAACACAGCAGTTACCAAGGTGCAGTATTCAAAATCAATTTAAGAGGGGTGTTTATTATGTATGTGCGGTATGGTTCACGACTCCATCCATAAAAGACATGTTAATATTGATCTTAATGCATCAATAACTATAAATTGGCCTCAGGAGGGGAATGTGAGCAAATGTATATTTCTCATTGCTTATGGCTATGTTTGATTTACTGCAGTGTGTTACAAAATAGTCTTTTGGAAGAAGGAAGGCTCCCTGCTTTTGGTATCCATGTGAACAAATGCTTTCTTTATGGGTGTTTCATAAATCAAGCATATACAGGGATTAAGATACAATATACTTTAAAGCTGCCTCTCCATAGATCTGGCCAGTAGCTTTGCATAAGGCTTCACCCACTTGTCTCCATGGAGATAAATACTTGTAAGAAAAGGCAATAACATAAATATATAAAAGTTACACAGTTCACGTTAATTTTATGTAATAGTCTAAGGTTCAATATGTAACATCACCTGCATAATTCCACTGAAATAGAAAGTTAAAGCCACTTCCGAACATTCTCCATTCTCCATAGGTAAGTTTTATGCCATACTGTGGACAATTTTAGCCAAAGGAACAACATTTCCATGGAAACAAGCAAGAGGAGCCCTTCCAGAGGCCAAATCAGTCACGTTTGTGGAGATGCAAGCCTGCTTAGAGCATGTTTTTCTATGTTTTTTAGTTTTTTTTTGGCTAAAAAGTTGCACAGTCTGGCTTTAAGTTTAATGGCTTGAAATAATTATCACCATAAAAGCATGCATAGGGCTGGTTGAGGAGAAGAAAAGGCAATGACGAGGCTAAACATGAGTCTAATGTTTATATGTGCAAATTTCAGGTCAGGAATATCACCTCCAGGGTCACTTTGCTGCAGTGTGTGAAATAATTTATTTCATTTCAACTTCTATTGAGCATAATGTCTCATTTACATTTTCCCTTAGACCAAAGCCTTTCGTTTGCATTTCCCCCTAAAGTCAAACTCATTGCTTTTGCATTCTCTGTGCCGACCAATCGGTTCTGCTGCCTGGGCCGCACTCATGTGAAGGATGAGTTGTCAGCCAATAGCAGTCTGTCTAGGAGCGGGAGCTAAGATGTGATTGGACAGCACTTAAGGACGTTTGTGTTTGTCTCCCATCTGGACTGAGGTTTCCATAGTAACCTCCATATTCAATAAGCTGCTGTTAAGTCATGCTCCACCTCCTGGGACTACCCAGCCATTTTACGTATATTTTCAAATTAGTTTGAGCTATTCATCACTCAGGGCAAAGCAGAGAGAGGGGCAAATGAGATAAATGCTAAATGACTAACCCCCAAAAGTACAAAAAAAGGGGTTTTGAAACTGTGAACAAAGACAAAGTAATTATATAATGTTACTGTGTCTTAGATAAACATCTGATTCTCTCTTAAGAATAAATTAGTAGAGCTGGAATAAATGACATTCTATTCCCATTATTAGCCTATCTCAAAATACAGTAGCATGTCAAGCGAGTTAGAGGCTGTTGTCAACCAGGATTTTAAAATTACAATAATTTGAGTACTGCAAGTTTTCAATATGGCATTTGAAGCTGCTGATGGTTTGGGAAAAGAGTTATAATGTGATGTCTAAACTAGACCACAGTATCCATGTGTATATGCAGCATTAGAAAGGAGAAAAAGCAGTGAAGAGACTTGTAATACAACTGTGCTGTTGATTTGTGTTACTGAACTCAGAGCTGTCAAAGAGAAGGAGTAGTTATTTAAAGTTAAGCTGGGCAGATAAGAACATAAGGGTAAAACAAAAACATCCATAGTGAACTTGAATTCAAGTGCGATTTCAAATAGCTGTGCCAATAATTGACACTTTCCACTTCAATTTTGCACAAAAATATCTACATAACCTTAAAAATACCTGCACCAACCCTCACAGCTTCCACCTTTGTGATAGCACAGCCCATGCAGGCTATAAAAGGCTAAGCGCTGGTCAAATGGAGTCATACCTTGACATTTGCTTGAGGCTGATTAAGTTCATACGGCTGTGAGTGACGGGTGCCGAGGGGAGCTGTTTTAGAGGCAGGGAGGTTTGATGCCTCGACCTGTGGTGCTTACAAAACAAAGGCTGGATTAATACAGACATTTGGCTCCTACCACTAAACGTCAGTCACTGGGTTTTTAGAGAGGTATTTTTCCTTTCAATTAAAATGCAATCGACAGTGCCAATTATTGATCTGCAGTGGCGCTTTAGTGCTTTCAAAACACTCACCTGTCTGAGTATAATACTGTATAAGACTGGCAGCTGCTTGTATGTGTTTTATGTTTGCAGGGAAACAAAAGGTTTAAAGTGACGCCTGCAGCGTTTTGTTCTCTTTGTTTTAAGAAGCAGAAAAGACTCCAACTACATGTTTGTAGTTTTCAGCTTTTGTTCTGTGTTGTTTTTTTTACAGCATGTGCAGTGAAGGTGATTAAACAATGAATGCATTATTATGCTGTCAGGCTGTACCATTGATAAAAATGTGGGCCTCCAAAAATGCCACTTGGTAATTTCAATTTTAAATCAGGCTCTGAACTCGTTAACTCTGGGAAACAGCTCTTTTTCACAATAAAACAATCAGGTTTCATTCTCACCTTTACCTGCTTCTTTTCATTTGCTCCTCTGCTCTAATCAGCACAGCTCCTCTCACTGATGAACTCTATTACCTGCAGTGTGTATGTGTGTGATTGTGCGTATAAATTTTCAACACATTCGCCATGAACTGGTCAATTTAATAAGGAAAATGTCTTATATGATCTTATAACCCCTATTGTGTCTCGGCTACTTATTTTAATAGATGTTTCCATGTCTCAGAATAGTTAAAGCGTATGTCTGTACTGCACTGAAAAAACATACATCTTTTCTGTGAGCAGGCTTACATCTTCAAAAACTTTCAGAAAAATATGTACTTCCTTTGGCTGTAATCTTTCACAACATAGCATAAAATGTATCTTCACAGAGAATTTAACTTTATATTTCAATGGAATCATGCAGGTGACATGCTACATCCAGAAAGTACCTTCAACTAAACTAAACTAAAATTAAAATAAAATGTGAAATGAGCAGTTATAGTATTGAAAAGGGCTTTTGTTAAATCATAGTTTACTAAGTCTGAAAGTCTTTAGGACATCTAGTTTATATTTTACTATATTGTTTGTCTTAAAGCAATACAGCAAATCTCTCTAGTTCAGATGGTTCACTGACAGTTGCTGTAAATAGTTTGCTGCAGTGTTACTAAACTGCTTTAAGCACAATCATTATTCTTTTCTATAATGGATTAGTTTAATTTCTGGCCATTTTCAAAGCAACATTACTTTAGTCAGGCTTTTAATTACCCCTTGTCTTTTCTAATAGATCTTTATGTTCAGGTAACGCACATTTGCACTTACTTGGCCTTTGGTTTTTCTTTGCTCACTCCCACTCTCCTCCTACAGCAGTGGTCATTTACATCAGAAACATATTTCCATGTTGTTGGATAAAAGGATCCTTTGGCAGGTTGTTAAGATGACTCATGGGTTTAATTTGAGCCCAAAATGGGATGTGCTCAGTTGCCAGCATCTATCCCGTCTGCCTGCCCGCTCCTCATTTAAAACGCACAGTTCCAGCTGGATACGGCCCATAGTGAGAGTGTTAATGAGACACATGAGTTATAAAGTTACAATGTAATTCTGTTGTTTTTCTTGTCAGATTTGTTGGCCGTGCCCAAACATCCATACGCTGCCATGGAGAACTGGGGCCTGAATGTGTTTGTGGAGCAGAAGATCTTACTGGACGCGGAGGTGTCTTCATCATCCTATCAGATGGAGCTGACCATGGTGGTGGTCCACGAGATCTGTCACCAGGTACACACACTGATGAGAAATAGAAATTCAGAAATACTTCATAGATGCTTAAGAATGGAAGCAAAACATTGAACAGATCTGGGCCAGGGCTGGGCCATACAGCGATCTCCTCACTGGCACAGTCTGCTGTTATAGTTACATTGTTATTCACTATATATTTGTTTAAAGCAGCTGTGCTCAAACAGACACTTTGTGACAAACAATATTTTAAACAATTTATTGTTTTTTATGATGCTGATAACCTAGACCTGAGTACAGTGTTGCGTTTCTGTATATTTTTTATAGTGAAATGACATTCTGATTCAGATTTGCCACCCACTTTTCCTATTGCTTAGTCTATATTAGGCTCTGAATGAGTGACACTTAAGTGAGTTAACCAATCACACTGAAGTGTTTACCTTCTGAAAATGGCATTATTTACCTCCTAAAGGCAATAGAAAATAATGTATACATGAATCGTGATAAAACTGAATCCAGGATCTGTTTAAATTTCATATCATTTTCACTGTGTTTCATACATTAAAAATGTATTTGTTCAGTGTCAGGCTTATCATTAGTATCAGCTATTGGGTTTAATTGATGCTTATAGTAATTTTGTTTTATTTTTTTATTTGTTTCCAATATATTGTAATAATGTAGTAATTATTACTTGGAGTGGTTCAGTCAGCTAAATGGGACAAGATGAGACAACAGAAAAGCCTTCTAGTTGAAGTTTTTCTGTAAATGCATTACCCTTTTTGACTGCAAACACTGCAGATAATTGACTGTGGTCACTTCATTTTTCTCCTTTAATAATTGATGTTAAGCTGTTTCACAAGACTTCACAAAACAGTTATGGCCTGACCTCATGTACTGTTTTTATAATCTTATCAAAAGGTCTAATGCCCAATATCAGCCAATTAACTGAGGAAAAACCAAGACACGCTGTGACCATTCATAACTATTAGGGGGAAATGACCTCCAGAGATTTAACAACTTAATTCAAAACACATATTCATGTCAAAACTAAAGTAAAGATCATTTGTTTTGCTATTGCTGTAAAATATGCTGAGAAGCAGTTTTTTTTTGTTTTTTTTTGTCAACTGTGGAAAAGTGCATATATACTGTTTGGTAAAATGTGCCAACTTTCAGATTAAAGGTGACCATTGAGATGTTACTGTCCTTCCAAGAATGTCCACCAGTATGCCATTATACTTACCTATCTTGCATTTATTCAATTACAAATGTTCGTATGAGTTTTTGCTGTTAAAAATACCTTGAAAAACAGGCATTCTTAGCAGGGTCTCCTCTGATGTTCTGATCTGTAACTAGACAGATGTACTGAAAATTTTACTGTTTTAGGCAAAACAATAACAACATAGACATATGCCACTGGGTTAGTGCAGGTTACACAGAGCTCCTTTAATCAAGATACTCAGTGTAGTGTCCGTTTAGTGTCACTTCTCTACTTTTTGCTATTTAATCAGCTACATGACAATCGACCGAAGACTGTAAAAACAAATGCAAATTCTGCCTCTGCAAACTGAATGAATGTGATAGAAGTCAAAACCACTTCAAGTGAAATGTCTGTGATCCGTGTGTGTGTCTCAAATCTACTCAGCTGCGAAAATACGCCGAGACGTGATCCTGTTTCCACCATAGCATGTAGAGCATGTGACAGGCCGACAAACACAATGCAGCAGAAATACATGTAAAGGACTCAGTCAGTTTAGAGGTTACGGCGGCACAAAGGGCATTGAGAGAGGAGGGAGCTGTTCACTGAATAAGAAAACAGGCTGAAAATACATTTGGATTGATACAGTGACAACGGAAGTGAGTGGAAACAGATAAATAGGTGTGAATACTGATATTGCACCAGTTTTAACCAGATTCAGTTTGAACTTGTTTCACTTTTATTAAATTGTATCAATTTGATTCTTGTTCCTTTTCCTTCATCCCCTTTAGGTTAAGTGGTGCCTACAAGTTAAACAATTTAACAGCTGAGTGTATTGTGTGGAATATATTGCAATTTCAACCATTGTGACTTGAGCTTGATCCAATTTTATATTCCTCAACAACCCTACTTATCTGTATGAAATGGAAAAGCATACCTGACCAGGAAGGTTATCCTTGGCCGCAGTGTTAGCAGACCTCTGTTTGCTGTTAATCCATCTTCACCAAAGGGAGTAGGACTGGATGCGGCATCTCCTCCATCTCATAACACGAACAGTGATGGACAGTGAAACAATGATTTAATGAAGCTTTATAAATAAGCTCATTATATTTAAATAAATAGCATGGCTATTAAAGTAATAAATATAAATTAAAGTAATAGGTGATCATAGTGCATGGCTAAATGCTCTAGGATTGTTAGTAAGTGTCTGTCTTTCTGCTACAATTCAAAAACATGGTGCTCAAATTTCTGCCTTGTGTAGATGAATCTGAAGATTTGCCATTGTTCAGGATGTACTCTGCCCAATCCCCTTTGGTAATGGAAATAAAAAATATTCTCAGTATTCCCAAATGGAATCAGAAATCAAAAATGTGGCCAAAGATTGTGCATGCAGACTATTATTCATGAATGTATCTACAGAAACATGAGCAGACCCTTGATTATCAGTACAGTGTGGAACAGTGTGCATTGGAAGCACCAGATCTGCACGCTGGCATTTCAGAGGTTGGTATGTCAACACTATCTACATAATGAGAGGCGGTCTACAGTTTTAACTTGGCAAATGAGCTACTACTGCTGTGAGAAATGCATGCCTCTGGTTGGGATCATTACCAATGAAACAGAGGATATTCATTGTAAATATCTTTGTGCTGTTGGCAACAATGCTGCATCTCTATTTCATCTCCTCTAGGACGTGGCCTCAGACACTTACTCCTTTGTGGATCTAAGCTGTCTTCAGGCCAGTGCAGCTCCACAGCCAAAAGCCACTGAATAACAAGCTTCACAATAAGATTGCCCAGCCAAGACAAATAATACAAGTTTTTGTCTTGTTTTGGATCTCTACACGTTTTCTTTGGCTTTATCTCCCCCTCTTTAGCTCTAAGAAGAAAGGGAATTGATGAAGAAAGGTTTTTTGTTTAACTTTGCACTCAATTACACCCAAAGCTATTTACGTGTCGTAGAAACACTCCAATACTTACTTTTCCAACTTTAACTTTTTTTTCTTTGTAACGAAAGAGTGAAATTTAGATTTCAAGCTTTAGCAGTGTACTGAAACCATGCATTTTTATCACAATCTACTTAAAGGTTTAAAAAATATATGGATAGGTGTTTTGTTTTTGCCATATTAAATTGATTGTTTTATTTTTCTACATGAGACATAAATCTGTAATGCAAATTAGAGCCTAAAACTTTGGACTTACTACTGATGCTGTGACAATGATTAAACCCATGGGAAGGAAACACTGCCATTTTGCATTTAAAGTAGGTTACTCCCCACACTAAACTCAATAATAACTTATGAAGCTTGGAGAAGTAATAACCACTCCTTAATTTCAAATGTCCTAAAATATAATTAAACATATGCATTAAACAGCATTCTCAAAAGTGTTATTGGACAAGATTTGAAGATGTGAGTGTCCTGATGGTGTTATATAAGCAGGTTTGGGCTGCTTCTGTTGTTCTCAGGGGAACAGATGGAGCATGTGGATTCAAACAGCAGCAGACAACCTGATGTGTTCCCATCAGCCGACACAAACACAGATGTTCAACACAACAGCCATTCACAACACGCACACGACAGCACATTGAAGAGAGGCCACAGTTTACTTTACTTATCTACTCAGCTGAATTTGCAAGGATCAAGTGAAATTATCAATCAAATATTTGCATTAGTTGTATTTTGTATTGATCACAGGTTCCTGAAAAGGTGTTAAAATACTTTTTCAAACAATCAAAACACCTTTTTGCTAATGTGTGCCTAGTGTCTCCATGGTAACTGGTGAGCATTACAATAGCAATACAATGTAGAACACCCCCATCATGATCACTGCAAAGTATCAATTATACACCCTTTTGTAGCAATGATGAATACACAGCTAAGCCTGCAGGAAGAAAGTGGGTCAGAATGGTCTGATACTCACTCTTTGACTACAAAATAAAAATAATAAATAATAAATGTCATATATAGACATGTCTTCAAGCAACCATTGAGTACCTCCAAACAGTGAAGGGGAGGAGTGCATACACAATTGTTTATTTGTTGGAAATAGAGAAAACTAGAGTGGAGATTGGAGGAAAAAAACTGAAACGTAAACATATATTAGAAAAAAAAAAAAAAAAAAAGAAACATTGAATGACATGGTGAGTCTAAACTTTTGACAGATATGAAAAATACAGTGGCCTATTTGCAATCTTAGAGAAAAGAAAAACTATACAATGCAAATATAATACATAATACATTTTCCCATTTTCACAGTTTATGGTTGATGAAATATATGATGTTCAAAAATACACCAGACTGCTGTAAATTATATCTGTTCTGCACTTTCCAATTTCCATTTCAACCCCTGTAGTTGTTAGATTTTTCTAAACATTCTTTGAAAAGAAAGTGTATAGTTTTGCCTTTTTTTAAGTCTCTTTTTGGCTTATAGTGCATTATTTAAACTTAACACAGTTAGTATTCGTATTTTTATATTCCAAAATGGCAAGGCTAGAGGTAATTGGTCTGGCCATGTTGCTGTTCAGGGTTGTGGAGTGCACGGTGGGCTGGAAGTTGATGACAGCACTCCCCTCACACCTAGAGGCAATTTAGTAAGCTACCAATTAACCCAATGTCCTCCGAATGCGTCTCTTGTTTTGTGGGAGGAGTATGTGCAGAATTGGAATCTGTACACTGTCTACCCACTACCTCTCACTGTGAGCCCCAAACCATTATAATGAAATGAAATGACGGCTGTCCTCCTGTCAGCAGGTCAAATGGATTCAAAATACACCTCACCCAATCTGATTCTGCGGTACATCTTGTTCTGCTGAAATCCCCCCAAATTAGCTTCACGCACATACAGAC